TATTAACAGAAGAGTCTATGTTAATAATATATTAATAATTTTGGCTTATGTGAAAGCCAAGAGTTGAATAAAATCAATGTCCATCAATTGATAAATGAATAAATCAAATGTGTATATTCATATGATAGAATACTACTGGCAATAAAAAGGAATGAAGTCCCTATATAAGGGAAACCATGCATGACCCTTTTTAAATATTATGCTAGGTGAAAAATGCAACTCATGAAGGACCACATTGTTATGATCCCATTTATCAAATTGTACAGAAAATGAAAATTTATGGATACAGAAATTAGATTATTGGTTGCTAACAGCAGGGGGGAGAGAAACACAGGGTGGCAAGATAAAATCTCAAGGGCACAGGGATTCTTTTAGGGAGATAAATCTATTTGTGGTAGTGGATGTGCAGTTCTATGAACACATTTCGGAGACATTAAATTTTCAACAATAATGGCAAATCATATGGGATGTACATTACCTATCAACAAAGTTTTACTAAAACAAATCTTTGAACCTTGATATTCAAGAAATACTGAATCAGCTACACAATTGCTTTATTTCTACTTCTGTGTCAAGGGACTGCACACCAAGGAGCCTCTCACTTGCCACAATTTTTGGCACCATTCTAAAATACGTTACATAAAACAGATTACTTGCACCTGCAAGGTCATCAAAATTAGCTGGATTATAGCACTTATAAACATAAAGAGGACATTCAACACACTTGAGTAAATACAAACTCATCTAGTTTTATTATGTTACCTTGCCACCCGCATGCTCAGACTGTTTGGTTAATGTATTACTTTTAAGCGTAGGAGTTAAATTTTAACTTGATTGATTTATGCTTAAATATAATCATGAGAAAGGGCAGAGAGAACAGCAATTTTAACAGAAGCATTGCACTGCACCAGGATGGCTCTGCGATGGACTTCAGTTCTTCTGCTGATACAACTCAGTGGTTACTTTAGCCCTGGGACTTGTGGAAAGGTGCTGGTGTGGCCCACGGAATACAGCCACTGGAGGAATATGAAGATAATCCTGGATGAACTTGTCCAGAGAGGACACGAGGTGACCGTCCTGGCATCTTCAGTGTCTGTTCTTATTGATCCCAGCAAAACATCTGCTATTAAATTTGAAGTTTTTCCTACATCTTTAAGTAAAGATGACTTTGAAGGTTTTTTAATGAAACTGCTCGATAGAGCAATATATGATCTTCCAAAAGACACATTTGGGTCGCACGCTTCAAAAATAGAAGAAATCATGTGGGAATTTTCAGAAGTTTTGAGACAGCTTTGTAAAGATGCGGTTTTAAACAAGAAACTTATGACAAAGCTACAAGAGTCAAAGTTTGATGTCCTTCTTGCAGATGGCGTTGGTCAATGTGCTGACCTGCTGGCTGAGATACTTAAAACACCCCTTGTATATAGTCTCCGCTTCTCTCCTGGCTACACAATTGAGAAGCATATTGGAGGACTTCCATTACCTCCTTCCTATGTACCTGTAGCTATGTCAGAATTAAGTGATCGAATGACATTCATGGAGAGGGTAAAAAATATGATATTTGTGCTTTATTTTGACTTTTGGTTCCAAGGATGTGATATGAAGAAGTGGGATCAGTTTTACCTTGAAGTACTAGGTGAGTCATGTTTTTAATTGGTGCTTAATAATTCCTACTTTTCCTTGTACCTTGGAAGGTGAGCTTGTGTAAATATGAAGTCAGAAGAGAACATGTTTTGTAAATGCAAATATAAAACGAAAATATACATGATCTATCAATCTCACAAATATTATGAAAGATTATAGGATCATTAAGAACCTTGTGTCCAAAATTTACACAGGACAATCCATGAAGTCATAAATATACAAGCTAAGACAGTTCGGATTTTTTAAACAATCTCATATCTTCTATACTATACCTTATTTTCATGCCTGATACAAGTTAATAGATGCATCAAGAAACACCTTGATGAAGGCAGATGTGTAGATTGAGGAGTTATATATTTTGCTAGCACAACCATCAATGTAGCATTGAAGAACTTCTTTCTCCTTCTGTACCTTATTTTCCTTATTTAGAAATCAAAATATTTTTCCTATATAACGAGAAGAATTTCTTCACATTTGAGAGACGGGTCTATGTCAGAAAGGGACATCTAACATTTGAGGTTTCAAACATTTCTATGTTCCTTCGCTAAAGCCTTGGAGATTATCTGTTTTAAGGCCTAAAATCTTACTGATGTGTAAACATCCAAGTCTGTGTCTGTATTTTATTAAATTATATAACCACATTAAGTAAAATATGAGCCAGATGAAGGAGTAGCAAAAGCTATCCATTTCTATAAGTTTTGAAAATTTCTAGCTGTTCTTTGTAAATGTATTTACTAGT